AACAAAATAATTAATAAATAAATAAAATCGGCTTTATTTGATTTGCAAAATACTTCAATTCCAAAAAAAATCATTAATTTCAATAAAATAATAGCCGGCAATAATCCATAAAAATCTGTGCAATAAGCGCCATCTAGTTGATTTGTTTGTTGTCACTAGAAAGAGTATCTTCGATAAATTGCAGTTTGTTGAATTAAACACATTAGTTAAGGCGGCTCCACACGCTTGCCAAACCAAGGGCGCGCAAGCACAACCGTGTGGATGGTCTGTTTAGCTACTCGTCGCGACACCTGGTGTTCCAATGGGTACTAAATATCCGACTACGCTGCCTTGTATTGACATGATTGGAAAGCCTTGACAAAGGTCAATGGCTATTTAGTTTTTTTTGTATATTTATTGATGTATATCAACAGTTTTAAGTTTTGTTGCAGAACTTAGTGGTTAACGGTGTCGGTCACACAATCAACATATACACACACACATACACAACATGGACACATAATTCGAGCCACAAGAGCACACACAACTATATTTTTATATTCTTGCCCTTTAAGGACAAAAATGCATGGTGAATTGAATTATGTGTCCGCACAGACCACACATGTGCCCGGGAGTGTACATTTAGTGTACACTTTGAATCTAGGTACTATTTGTTGACCCAATAATTAAAGAAATACTACATTTGACGGCCTCTATGACCCAGTAGTTAGCGTTGAGGAGCTCCCGGGTTTGATTTCTGGTCTGCTTTGAGATAACTTTTCTAAATTGGTTATGGTCTGGGTAGTGCACCGGAGCTCATTCCATTGCTCTTGTACTCATAGAATTCCCTAATTTGAGACTAAATCTGGTGTGGTTATCAAGCACAAATGATAGAGTAAAAAAGAGGTAGGTGCATTTGAAGAATCAAATTAAAATCAATTCAACATTGTTAATTAATATATTTTCTTATTGCGGAAGCGTTAAAATACAAACAAATTCATTATAATGTACAACTTTACAAAATGTCACATTTCATTTGTTATAACTACATAATAAATACATACCTATAGTCATTGCCTTACAAATAAATGGACGACGGGTCTAATACAAAAACCACGAAAAAAATGTCCCAAGTCAACCTATTCGAAATTTAAATTGTTATGTCATCGCAGTATCGCGCTGTCCGTAGAACAAATGAAGACTAAAGCGGAGTGTCGCGCTCTGTATACGATTTTAGCGCCTTACAAGTGCGGACACTTTTTAGCGCGGACCCGACGTCCATATAATTGTAAGTCAATGCCTATAGTCGATTTTTTAATGATTAACTAGTAAATTTTTTCGCCTTCGTGATAGCAAATTCAACTTCGCAAAGGTGGAGCGTTCAACAGGGCGTTCAAGGTGTTTTAATAAGCTGCAACCTTGCCTATTTCTACCGCCAATCTGTAACGTGACCATTCCTATTACGGTTTTGAAGGGTAGGGTGGTGAAATTACAGGCATAAAGGACTTGTCAGTTTGTCTCAGGGTGACAGGCGCAGTGCGGTGCCCCTCAGATCTTTGCGATTTAAAGCTCTGAGTGGCACTGCGTAAGACTTGTTCGTCACATCACTAAGTATCATAACAAAAATCCTTTAAGACAGCACTAGTTTCATTTTATCAACGATTTGCAACCCATTGAATGTTACTTCGTTATCTTTATTTAAAAATCCGATTATAGATAAATGTTACTGATGACAGTACGATTAGATACATAATGTGTCAGCTAAACGCGTAATGCGGAAGACTGCAGTGGCATACACAGATAACAATAGCATCGTCACAGCTAAAGTCACGGAATTATCTATCGCCGTACCCGACCTGCCATACATCTTATCAGGCTCCTATAGGTTGAAATTTGTTTTTTTTTTTTTTTTTTTAATAAATAAGCCTACATTCGACCTCTATCTAACATGATGGAAAGTGTAGACGTGGTTAACGATCGAGCATGCTCACCTAAATAATGCCTATTCACTCTCGCCTTGAAAAGAACTAAGTTATAGCGTTCAGGGAATTACGCTCCATAACCGTTCGCCATACAAAAGTGCAAGGATAACGCTTCGTGTGAATATCCACAACATATGGGTGGAACCCCAGCCTACGTCTCGTCACTCGATGATGGGAACGCTGAATTAAATCGTCCAATTCCACTTTCCGCGATATATATATCCTGTATAGTACCAATAAGCATTTTTTATAGTACCATGTGACGGGGCGAATAAGTCGTGCGCTTGATGGTAAGTGACACGCCTATCCATAACAGTTGCAGTGCCACTCAGAGCTTTAAATCGCAAAGATCTTAGGGGGGCTGCCACTGCGCCCATCACCCTGAGACATAAGTTGCCAAATATCATGTAATTTCACCAGCACCTTTACCCTTCCAAACCGGAACGCAGTAATGCTCACATTAATAGGTAAGATGGCAGTATTTCCCTCTACTAAATTCAAATGCTGTCACTTTTTTAAATAAAATAGTCACACGCTTCACCACATTCTCACCTGACGTTAAGATATGTGAGACCAACGATAGTACGTGTTTAAAAAATTCACTCTAAGGCATTTTCGATTCGATTCGACATAACAAGTGCTGCGTAAACGACTCTGGGGCACCACAGGTACATCGGGTTAGACTAGCATCCCTGCACCCTCATTTACGTTTCATCCACCAGGATTCCCTAGCCCAATCCCCAGGGGATCTTTGTGAACTCAGCAGTTCATTAGAATCCCCTAAGTTAAATATATGTAAAGTTGCAGTCGGGTTGCGACAATAAATAATTACTTATTGTAGCGATCCAGTGATCGGGTTTTCTTGTCATTTTCATAAATATCCTTTTTTGACTTAGGTAATGACTGGCTAGAAATACAATGGCATCAATAAAATGACATTAGTGTAGAAATTAATGGCTGTCTACCTTTGCCCTATGAAATCATTTACAAATGATAAATTCATCCAAGAAGTACAGCTGGTATTATTGAGTAATGATATAACTATAGGACACTTTTTAGATATAGTTATGTATCCGCATTCGGGGGATTCTGATGAACTACTGAGTTCACAGGGATCCCCTGGGGGATTGGGCTAGGGGATCCTGGTGGATGAAACGCCCATTTAAACATCTTGTCTTTGCAGCGATCTGCCCTAGTGCGGAAGTAGATTCGAGGACCACAGCAGATCGTACCACGCCGAATATAATAATTACTGTCAAATAAGTAACACTCGACCTAATTAAAAAACTCATGATGCGAATAAAGCTTCATACTTGATATTGTCTGTTAATTTCTTCGAGTGTTACATATTTGACAGTAATTGTTTCGGACGGAGAACGAGGGTAGAAACCGACATGCCTGTAAGGCATTTTTACACGTGGCTTAGTTAACAAGATTATTTATAAAATACTAACAACCGCGCAGCAATACTAGCAACCGATGATGAAAAGCGGTTAGTACGCCTGAAGGTAATATCGACCAAGTACGGATGACATCCCGCCGTGCGTCTGGATGTCCGATGGTAAATGCGGGCGGGCGGGATGAGCTGATGGAGCTTCTGGGGTACACTCATCGAAATATATTCTGTAGGCAACCGACAGATAGGCGGCAACTTTGCGCTGCTAGGCAAAACTATGAAGTTTAGAATCAAGCTTATCGTCGCCAATAAGTCTCCTGGCGTTCAAATCGAATCAAGAGCCACAGAGTTATCATCGTTTAGAGCAATCTATTTAATTATTTTTATTTATGTACGAAAGTGGAATCTGATGTATACTAAATTTTTTGTTAATAATGTTAGTAGTATAGTCCTGTGAGGTTCTTACAAAAACCCTCTATAGATGCTAGTTACTTTACACTTGCCAGCTACAGTAATGGAACTAAGCTAAAGGCATGTATATTTTATTAACATTTTGTTACTTATAATATTTGGATTAAATTATCACGTAAGTGACACGCACACTTAATTGTACTATGTGGAAACACCCTTACATGACCTTGCCAAGGAATGTAAAAAGTATGATTTGACACGTTATGTAAAAAGTATGATTAGAAGCTAACTGCTTCTATCAACAGCGAGTGCGATTCACTCTTTTTAGGATTTTCTGCTAGCTGGAGGTCTGCACTCTTACTCAAAAGCCTCACGCCATATTGGCGCCCAACGCGGGGCACTAGTATTACAAGAGGAATATAATTCACCTTCTCTCGAAAAAAAAATGGTAATTGAACCGTTGAAGCTCTGGAAAGGTCCTGGAGCACCACATAGCAGAACAGAAAGAAAATTACAGCGAGACGCGAGAAGATACCATATTCTTAAGTAGCATATATGTACGAATTTGAAGAGGCAAAGGATTGTACCATTTCTGGATAAATAAGTTTTGAATTAAAAATAAATTTAATACATTTTCTTAAATAAATAAATATACAATGCTACATTACTCATATATGAATTAGAATATTATAAGATAAGGCAAACAAGAGTTTTTTTTATTAATTCACATTTTATCATTATTACTAATAATATTTGTACTGACAAAAAGTGGTACAAATTCACTAACAAACATCCTGCTTAAGTATTTAACACATTTGTAACATAAATAATGAAAAAGAATATAAGTAACAAAGAACAATGCCGAAATTATATTTCAAGTTATACTAACGGCCAAAGAAAATCATATTTATACATTGACTTACAATTATATGGACGTCGGGTATACAGAGCGTCATTCACGCTTTAGTCTTCGTTTGTTCGACTGACAGCGAAGCAAGCAAAATTAGATAGTACTGCGATGACATTACAATTTAAATTCAACGTTTTAGCTTTTTCATATTCCTTGACATGTCACTACGTTTAAATAGGTTGACTTGGGACATTTTTTTCGTGGTTTTTGTATTAGACCCGTCGTCCATTTATTTGTAAGTCAATGTATTTATATGAAACTCAAATGACTTGTTAGCACGTATGGATTGATATCTAGAACTGTCAATTTCTTAGTGTCTTACCGTTGAGCGACATCTAACCGCCAAAAATAGAATTTCAATACCTACGTACAGATTGCTCCTCATTAAAACTATGTTCAAATAACAAATGTACCGATTCGATCGATTTTCAATACGGGATGAACTACTTTATTACAAAACACCATTCAGCTTCTATTAACTCTGTTCAAGGTTTCTGCAGTTTACATTGTGATACAATAAATGACACACCGAATGTGTTTTATTCAATTATGTAAAATATAACCTCCAAAACCCAAACCAAATTGTTTCAGGAATTTAAACAGACGTATACAAGTTAGAACAATAAAAATCTATATGGGAGTTCGCCGTTGTTCTTTATTATCAACTTTGAAAGTAAAGAATCTATCATTAAGGTTGAAAATTTATTTGCCTTCAGTTTTGTTTACCAATACATTGACCTTCTCAAGGCGAAAATAAATAAGTATTATCCGTCAAAATCTGTTCCATACTCGACGATTTATCATCGGGGGAGGTTATCAGCAAATGCTTACTTATAAAAAAAAATAAAAGGTTATGGGTGAATTGGCCAGCAGCTTCATGAAACTAGTTATACAGGTGTAAATATAAAATTTAAAAAAACTAACATAGGAAATGAAACTATTTTTCCGGATTCAAATCGCGTATATTTGTTTTTTCGAACAAACCGACGTTTCGGGCCCCTTACAGGTCCCATGGTCACGGTTGACTGACGGTTTGAAAAAACAAATATACGCGATTTAAATTTCCTATGTGTAACAATCGTGAAAACGTAAGAACTCGAAAAAAAAAAACAATTATTGTCCTTGTTCTTTAAGCAAAATTGATTGTGCAAAGGTACAGACCAGCCCGCTAACTAACTGTACAAGGCAAAAAACAACCCTGTGGCATTTACATTCTATCTTTCAAGTCATGACAAAAGTTTGACAGTTAATTAGTAGAGACCGTTCTTCACACTACAGCGCTGTCATAAGTTTCACAGAGAATTATTATTAGAAACAGTTGTTCAAATGGCAACACTGTCAAAAGTTTGACATGAATTTAAACTGTAGCACTGAGTTCAAAAGAGAATATATATGTCACCGAACTATCTTTTGACTAACGCGGCTAGCCTGCAGTTTGATCCATGGTTGTCATAGAACCTTTTTTTTTTTTATAGTGGTTAGATTTACTTTACTCCGCTTATCTCAATGACAACCCTGTTTCGGTATGTCAGCGGATGTTTGCTAGTGCATATGACCCTTTAATATATAATAATTTCAATCACTTATTAGTACCAATTAGTTAAGCGTGCTTTCTACCCAATTGTGATTCTACAGAATTTAGATTTATTTAAGTTTATATCAAAAATATTACTTTATTACTTTCATTTGCCATTCTACTTTTAAAAAAATAATACAGTGCGCAATAGACTATGTCAAATGTAGAAACTAGGGACTACAAACATCACTAGCATCACCTAAGCAGTTAGACACTGTAATAAATCTTTCAAACTATCATTACCATCGCACAACTCCTTCATTCTTTCCAACTGAGATCCGCTAAAGCCAGAATGCAAAGCTACAACACACAACAACCTCTTATCTCCAAACGTCATTTCCCCGTTTTGTTTGACAAAACTCGCGAAATCTCCCCAATTATTATCTATCTCTGCACATTTCGTAAGACCTAGTTTTAAAATATGGTAACACAGTGGTGTAATTTTTCGAATAAACCGATTTGAACTGGCGGAGACCAGTAATGTAAGCAAACAGTAAGGGAGGAGGTTCTCTGTTATTTTGCCGTGTAACAAATGGCATAACGCTTCGAAGAGCCAGCCGCTGAGCACCGGGAGTTGGTCTTGAGACAGAGCTGCTTCGAAGACCTGTAAATTAATCATTAATAAATGACAAACAGTAAATAAACATAATTGTTGTTGTAAGTTGATTTTTTAAATTACTCGAAACACAATGAGATTGCTTAAAAGTGATTGCAATGAGACACGTAATTAGCTCTAAAGGTATCCAAATCTAATTTGTTTGCACCCCGTATATTCACGTGACGTGGTTTAAAAAAAAGTAGCACTTTTACTACGATCTTCTCTTTTTTTTTTTAATTTACTGTCCACATGATGAACAGAAATAACTTCAAAACTCTAAGAATTCTTAGGTTCAAATACAGATAAGTGGAATACGTCCAGCCAGATCTGGTAATCTAGGCACTGAATGAGAGGGGTTTCGGATTTACTATATTCCACAAATTTCCACTAATAGTAGTTTATGTGACTATTACATAATGAAGGGCTTTCAAATACGAATGAGGGTTTATTAATATTCATAAAAATATCTCACGAGTGTTTTAATATCTAATTATGTACAGTTACATACACTGCTTTATCTACACACATATTATAAGCTCTCTGTGATGTATTCAGGAACCGCATGTTACGACTGGCGGAATGGCGGCAAATAAAAACTTTTCTCACGCATGTCACACAACCGTAGTTTTTATTTTTTAATTCATATAGACAAACTAGAATCGGCTCCAACTATCACATCGTTCGATATCAAGTAACGTGTAAAATTGCCAAAATTGTTGGCCATTGACATTTCATTTCGAATAAAACTTCATCTCGACTGATATTAGAATTGAGGTGCAATCAAATTGTTTTGTTTTTCAAAGATGCTCGAAATTTGAATGTAATAATAATAACATTTTCACAGATAAGAAATTTGTTCTAAAAAAGCAGTTTATAACACATTATACAGTTTATGATATCTGTGTAGATAAAAAGAATTTTACATCTTACAGGTTAAATATTACGTTTGTTTAAAACCTTTTTTCAAAATGATCTGCTCAGAACCAAGTAGACGGTTAATTTTCTAAGGGTTAGTTAGACTGGGATAGGACAAGTAGTTAGACGGGGTCAAAACTTTAATACTGCTAATTTTTTTTAAACTAACGGTCATTGTGATTCCTTTGAGACTTCATTGAGCTTTAATTGCAATTATGACAGTATTTTTTATTCTGCTAAAATTTAACTTTTTATTAATTTTTTTCACAATGTAATAGAAACTATATTAAATAATAATAAGCAAAAACAGTTTCCTACTGATAAAAATACAATAGCAAAATACAGCACTGACAACACTAAACAACTAAATGACATTGTACATGACACATTATAGAAGCAAAGTAACACAAACTAATTTTTTTTTACGCTTTATTTATTTGGGGAATTTGATCGTTAATGAACATGTCAGCCCCGTTAGGAAAACAATACCCCAAGAAAACACTTAGTAAAATCTAGACAGATAAATCAAAATACTAACGCTACATGTTGGCTCCGACAAAATAGATTGAAACCACCCAACATAAATACACGAAAATCAACCGCGCCCTGATACGTTCCGTCCGAACACACTCAATGAGCAAATGATGTACATCCTCGGGAATCCCACACACTTCGCAATTCGGTGAGTTCACCCTCCACACCAAATACAAAAATTTGTTTAATGGAACGTGTCCAGATCGAAGCATATGCGCGCTGACAATTTGACCCCTGCTTAATTTAACATCGTCAAACTATGGAACATGCAAATAAACTGGAATAATAACAAATATTAGACAACATTACATACGTTGCTCTGATCCCAAGGTAACTAAAGTCTAAAGTAGTTAAAATCTAGACTCATGCTGTCTTCCCATACATCTTTATCTAACACATACTCTTCAATTTTGTAATATGACTTTTCAGTTAAAATACTTTTAATGTAAGTTTAAACTTAGGAAATGATAATCGGGAATCTTATTGTAAAAACGTATACAGATCGCGATAAAAGAATCGTTTACTTTAGTTAAACGAAATCGTGCTACCATGAGTTTGGACTTAGTTCTAAGGTTAATATGATATCTTCTTTCTTAATGAAAAAAGATATTATGATGACATATAAAAATTTAAAATTAGCAGACTTTAGATTAGCAGAGGATCCAGGTATCTAAGGGTTAAAGGACGGTTAGTTAGACGGGGTCAGGTATGTAAGGGTATGGACTGTACACGGAATTCTTCCTAGTTTGAAACCTAGCAATTGGAATGGTTATATAACACGCTATTCACCACACTTACCTCAAAAACAATTTCACCGTTCAACCCCGAACTTTGTATCCATAAATCCCTCTCAATCGAAACTCCCAGCAACCTTTTTTCACTCTCCTTGCAATTCTCTATAAACTCTATAACGACTCTACTCAATATCGCTGCCGGCGGCAGGGTCTCTCTAAGGAAGTATTTCAGAGTAGACGTTAGAATTTGTTTGTTTTCTCTAAGTTTGCATTGGCGTAGCATTTTGTACAGTAATGTGATACGTTCCATTGAGTTCATTAGGACATCTGGATCCATGTTTGAGACGTCTGAAGTTAGTTTTGGACTTAGTAGCTTGTTGTGCGCTGGTAAAAAAAAAACAAATTAATGGGTACGTCATAATCATAATACTTATGTAAGTGGTCACGGGTGATTGCGATATTATTAATAAATTTAATTTGGTAAAATTCATAATGACGAAATACTACTTTCATAGATTTCTCATAGATGGCGCTACGGCTAAAAAGTCGTTGAAAACCAAATATAAAGATTCGACAACAAGCACATAGGAGAATTCGTGAGGTCCACTGGTTCGCTCCGTGGCTTAGTTGGCATAGCGTCTGCCACGGTTTGCTAGAAGACGTCGGTTCGAATCCGGCCGGATCAAAGGAATCATTTCTAAGTATTCGATTTTTGTATTAATAATTATAACAAACTAGAGTAATTTCACAAATGAATATCAATTCAATACCAATTTAATTACAGTTAATAGCGACATCTCTAGCCAGAGCTGGTAGCTGTAAAGTTACTTAACTGGGTGACGAAATACGTTCAAAAATTCTAAAGTATTTAGGGTAAATTGGAAGACGAAACGAAAGTAAAGCTTATAGCCCTGCAATATGGTCGTTTCGTTTTCGAATAACTAAATTAATAAGTCCAATTCATCGTCGTTCAGCAATTAATCACTAGATGGCAGTGCATTGATGGAAATTTCAATATAATATCAATACGTCCTGACTTGCAGTATCTACATATTGATGGTATTGAACTTTCAACGAAATGCCAACAGGGTAAAGTTTAAATTATATTAACAATTCTAAATTTAATTAAATTTTTATTGAATTGGTATTCAATTATTTTTTGTGAAATTACTCCACTAGTTTGTTATAATTATTAATACAAAGATCGAACACTCAGAAAAAACACTCAGAAAAAATTCCTTCGATCCGGTCGGATTCGAACCGACGTCTTCTTGCAAAGGTACTAACTGGGTGATAAATCTGTCAAAGATTTCTCATAGATGGCGCTACGACTAAAAAGTCGTTGAAAGACCAAGTACAAAGACACGACGCAAGCACATAGAAAAATTCGTGAGGTCCGTTGGTTCGTTCCGTGGCTTAGTTGGTATAGCGTCTGGCACGGTATGCAAGAAGACGTCGGTACGAATCCGACCGGATCGAAGGAATTTTTTCTGAGTGTTCGATCTTTGTATTAATAATTATAATTCTAAATTTGTTATTTCTTTTCAATTTGAAACAACGACCAATCAATATCAAGATTTTGTGGTGTTTCATATTAAGAATGTGTGAGTTTTCGAACTTCGGTTCTCATAGTAATCGAGGCTTAAGGCACTTGCTGTTTTTCTTCCGTAGTCACAAATGACTCAGTCACATAAATATATGCGGTTTGGATCCGAAAAAATTGTTTCAATTCCTCATATTTCTGTCGTAACTATATATTTAGTTATAACTTTTATTATATGTTATAAAGGTTCTAGGTAAATAAGTAACAAGTGTTAAGTGATACCTGTGAACAGATGCACAAGAAGTATCTGCACAGCGTGTTCTTCGTTATAATTCTTCATGTTATCCAAAAGTTTCTCTATGATCGTCTTCTTCAGTTCTTTGGGCAACACTTGTTGGCGGATAGTTGTTGTTATTCCCTGTAAAGAAACAAACATATCAAGTACAACTCATTCAGGTAATGTCAAAATGATCTGAGCAAACCAAGCATTACAATGAATTTAAAACACTTGAAAGTGTATTCTATATCGTTTGGAATAAAGTTCTGGTAAACTGCAATTATGTATTTGTACACCTTGTATAAGTATAGCTTGCACAAATTAATAAGTTTGTGGAAGAAAAAAATACAAGCTTATATTTGTTTTTGAAACACTTAAAAATATGAAAATGTTGTTATAATTCTAACTTTTATTCTCGCTACACTCAATAGATGGCGTGGGTTATATTTGAAAATGTTATTATATAAAAATTATAATTGGATGACGCGCCATCTATTGGCACAATAATGAGTTAAGTAGTTAAGAGTCGCTTAACCACCGCTTAACCGCAAGAAGGAAAACCATTGGGACAATCCCTTTATTTTTTTCTTTCCATCCTATAAAGGGACAATCCATATACAATAATCGTCAGTGACCGTGTGAATGGTGAAAAATAGATTAAGTTTTGGAATTTAATAAATAAAATAATAAATAAATAAAATTACTTGCGATAGATAATATCTTTTGAGTTTGATAATTTATTAGCTATTTTAAACTAATTTATATTTTTTTTAATGAAGATATTTTATTGGACAACATGTACATACATATATGAAAACATTGCATGTCGCAAAATTGATCACAGTTATTCAAAACGCATTCTTGTAATACTTTTATAACCTGCATCAATTCTTAGGGTGGCCATACACGACCTGCTCGAGCAGTTAGTCAATGAACAACATAAACGGACCGCTCTTGCAGTCATAGTCAATAGCTTGAGGCTGCCATTGATAACTGCTGGAGTAGTTGATACCAACTGCAGCAGTTGGTATCAAGAGAGAAGAAGAGCGCGGGCGGACCTAATTGCGCGAGAGCAGTCGTCAGCTTAAGCAGTCAGTATGCCTGGCGACTGCTTAACTGCACAATGAAATTTCACCGCGTTACAAACCGCCCGAAGCTGCCGCAACTGCTCGAGCGGTTAGGTGTATGTGTGTACATAGAAAGAAGACTGTAGTTTGCTGTGGTCGCAGTTTGAAGCAATCGATACTACCTGTTTCAAGCTGCCTGCTGATAATTCTAGATGTCATAATGTTGATCTGAAAAACACAGTATGTTCTCACCTTCACAACCAGGTCACTGCAATAATGCCGAGGGTTCGATAGGATGAACTCAACAGCGATGTTGATTAAATCCGGATGGCCGAGTTCAATCAATGTGAACAGCACTGTCCAGTAGAGGCTTTGCTCGTAAAGAGATATTCTGGAAGAAAATGAAAGAATTCTTAGGCTAGCTTATTCAACGTCCTGATTGTCATCTGGCCGCTGTTGCACATATTTTAATCTTCAGTAACAAGTACATATAAATTATAAGTCATTTAAATTGCATTTATGTACCGCCGTAAAGTTGGCTGCTTATCGGTATTCTACAGGATATATCACGGAGAGTGTGCGAGGGAATTACACGAATTAATTCCGGCTTCCCCTTTCCATCATCAGGGGATCAGGCGTAGGCTGGAGTTCCACCCCTGTGTTGTGGATATTCCAAGAATTCACACGAAGCGTTTCGCTTCCACATTTAATGGAGAACGATGACGGAGTGGAATTCCCTGCCTGCACACTTGTTCCCTGAACGTTACAACTTGGACATTTTCAAGGCGAGAGTGAATAGGCATTAGTTAGGTGTGCATACTCCATCGTCACTTTCCATCAGGTGAGATGGAAGTCAAATGCCACTTAGTTTTTAATAAAAAATAAAGTGTTCAATTATAATAATATTTAAATGCTTCACCAAAATGAATGTATTTTTTTTAAACCCAATAAGTTAATAACTATTTGTTTACTGTTTCGTTGATTGCATTCAAAGTTACATACCGACCCCTCCTACGTAAAGTATCGTATGTGGAAATTGTAAAGTTTACAAGGGAGCGTTTTAAAGTTCTCCGTTTTATTTGGCAAAGCTTGTTACACACAAAAAGTGATCATCAAACAGATCATCTAACCGATATCTAGGATTTTATAATACTCTATGTTAGTTGTAAGAGCTTTGCCGAATAAAACTGAGAAATGCTATAGTCACGTGTTTTGCTTATTTTAGTGAATTCAGAACTTTAAAAGCCTCACCTGTAAACTTGGCAATTTCGATATAATGATACTTTATGTAACTATCGTCTTCGTTAGTAGTCAAATTGGGCCTCTTACATTGTCACGACTATAGTAACTATAGACATATTTACTTGCTGCTAGGCGATAGGTACTGTCTGACAGCGACGTTCAACTGGGAGACCAATTGTTGATAAGGGTTCGGCGTAGATTGCTGGCCGCCAACGTAATGAGCCTTGCCGGTGAGTTGAAGTAAGCAGCCTTGTAATGCAGCCTGACGCAACGGGGCGTAGCTTGACGTGAGAGACTTGAGTAGCTTGTGGTGTACCGTCGATAGTTCCTGCTGAATATTTGTGAATAAAACTTCAATTGACACATATGTGATAAGAGCGGTGGTAGCCTAGTGAAAGAACGGTTTTTTCTTAATTGAATTGGCATGGCACATGTACAGAGTCAAGAGCACGTCAAGCTTGACACTTAAGACTTAAATCCAACTCTATGCCGCTTACGATACGAACGGTCCAAAGGACAAAGTGTCAAGCTTCTAAGCAAAAAAGTTGCGTCAGGAACATTTATATAATTTTTGTTTTAAGATTACAGCTATCGTTAATGGTTATACCGAATGCGATAGTGCACAAGTCTTGCTTAATGACCTTTAATTTAGATAATATAAAACTTAACAACTACTGAATTATTATTATTGTTATGGTAACACAAAACCCACAAAGCCGCTTTTACAAATTCGTTCAATGAGCAATAGAATATATCCATTTTTTTACTCAACATCCCAACCGCTTGGCTGGCCCCTTTCATAACACTACTTGCTTTTCTAGGAATTGCTATAATATGTCCATAAAGATATATAATGCTTTGCCGGCAGCGATCGCAGACTTACCCTTAAACATATTTAAAAAGAAATTATTTGACTTGTTATGTGATGTGTGTATATATGATATCAAAGATTATTTAAAATGAAAAGACATTGACACAACCTCGTTCATAAGAATAACTGCTTCAATATATTTATAAGGATTGTTTCATAATTTAACTAATGTAATTAAGTCACTACAAGGATTTACTTTTAAATCACAATTGACAAAATGGCTTTTGACACATTGCTTTTAAAGTAATAAAGAATATTTAGAAGTTACAAAAACCAAATGATATTTAATTCGAAATGCAAATTGCTTTGTAATTGTACAGACAAATGTGAAATACCATTAACATTTGCACACCTGCGTGCAGGTTGAATACAATAATCCTAAAGGCCTAATTTTACTCAAGATCTGTATAAATACTGTTTTCTGGCAAATAAACGTATTCTATTTCACGAAATTGGTGATAACATTTAGGTAAGGCAGCTTCGGGTACAGTGTGCTTCTTTTAACAAGTTTGTGCGTGCTCCAACTTGTTAGAAGAACGTGAACATACGAGGCTCTCGTCGCGGCCACACGTAATTGGTCCGATACAAACAGCGCCACCAACTAACAACACTGCTGGTTGGATACGCAGCCTCGCAATAGCATAAACAAACTTAGCCAAACTTAAGTCCCTTCTGACTTCCAATTTGTTGTAACCCACCTTGCAGATTGTTGTAACCCAACATAGGAAGTAGAGTTCCATAAGCTGTGTCTGACATTTATCAGTCACTAGTGACAAACTTTAGCCAACAACAGTTGCAAATAAATACCGGACACACACATAGCGCCGCACTAGGGAAACCCTGTGTAGCGGGTGCCATGGACACACATAGACATATAAATTACATCCAAATTCACAAGAGAAATAAATGTAGGCCATACAAATATTTCTCCCGGCCCGGGAATCGAATCCGGGACATCTGCATGGGAAACCAGTATGGTAACCGTTCGGCCACGGTATTGAACGTAACGGTGCTTCAATGGCTACAAAATTAACAATGGCGTCACGGAGATGCTGCTATTCATTCATTCATTCATTCACTAGTTTGTTACAATTATTAATAACAAAGACCGAACGCTTAGGAAAATTCATTCTATCGGGCTGGATTCGAGCCAGCACCCTCAGGCAATCCGTGTCAGGTGCTGTGCTAATTAAGCCACGGAACGAACCAGCAGATTTTACGAATCTTTCTATGTGCTTGTTGCAGATCCTTGTTTTTTGTTTTTAACGACTGTTTTGCCGTAGCGCCATCTGTGAGAAATAGATCGTATGATTTTTTGTTAGTGTTTCGATCTTTTTTATAATATTTGTACGGTTTGTTCACCTTTCAATTTATATTAAGAGTCTGATAGAATGTGAAAGTTTCTTGCTAAAAGAACTGCTACAATAATAACTGACGTATGGAACGTGTGATGGCTTGCGAGTGAGTTTTAGAGCTAAAGTACATTTTGTAATTTATGCATTTCTGTTACATTGACCTAAAAACCGGTGCAATGTGTTTATGTAAACATCCAGTCTGTCTACAAGGCCAATTATTTATCGAAGGGAAGACTTCGGGTCTATTGCACGAGATGCGAAGCGGCCACCGACCTGCAGCCCCTCGAAGCCGTCCAGCACGGCGAGGCAGCGCGCCAGCGCGTGCAGCAGCGCGCGGCCCGCGGCGTTGTACTGCGTGAGCGGCGCGTGCGCAGGCCCGCACACGCCCGTCAGCGTCTGCGCCGCGTAACACCACTGCCCCGTCTGCGCGAACTGCTCGCTGCACGACACCACGCACGACAGCAGCGCCACGCTGCACGCCAGCCCCGTGGCCGCCTGCATAGCGCTTTCGTTAGTGCATTTCCGGAATAGAACACCACTGACATAATTACAACTTTTCTATTGGAATTAGATGTAATTATTATCAGATGAAAATAGATGTATTTGCCAAGTTTTATTGCAATTGGTTAACGGAAAGTGTGCGAAACCGGATTCATCACCTAGTTTGCCACCCTTAGAGGTGGAATATTTTCTTCAAATCTAAATGGTCCTAATACTGAGGTACCCTCTTTTTAACAAAAAAATAATCATCAAAATGTGTTCACAAATGCCGGAGTAATAGCGTAAGGGCGCGTTCCCACTATGTCGTCACGTTTTATTATCGTTGGACGACTGTCGTGTCTAGCCTGTTCCCATATCACGACTATCTGTCGTGGACGATTTTTTATCGTTGAACGACCGTCGTGACTAGCTGTTTCCACTAGATCGTGACGACAATTTATCGTTTCACGACAGCCTCCTTGTCGTTTGCACGACAGAATCGTTTGATGGACTGCAGTCGCTTGTATGTTCTTTTGGAAGCCGGTAGTGTGTGTTCTCTCGAAATGGATGATCACGAAATTTTAATAATGTATTACTTTTTAAAAATGCGGAAGAGGAAGCAAACAAAGAAAAGAAAATTAAAACGTGTGTAAAATGCACACAAAAAAATGCAGTCGGATTGAGCTCTTCCTTTTTTGAAATCGGTTAAAAAAATTAAAATAACAATAATGTACACTTGTAGAACTGATGCCATTTATGTCATGTTTTTTTGTCCGAATTGTCATTTTTCCAACGATTCCTTTACGAATTATGGACATTATTGTTGAAGGTCAACAAGTACAACTTCTATATTAAAGTCGATAATGTATCTGACAATCACTAAAAAAATAAGAGATGCAATGATTAGTATCCACGCAACAGGCGTTTTGCCAAAAAAAATCTTCGCGCTCACTGTTAAATCTGAAGAGAAATTACATTACAAAACATCTTACAAATCCGCACGGAATAAACTGGCCATATCGATATTTTTTTGTTTATGGTACCTAGTGGCGGGACGAACAACCCCCTGCGCCTACTGGTAAGCAACACGCCTGTCCAAAACAGTTGCAGCGCCGCTCAGAGCTTTAAATAGCAGATCTGAGGGGCACTGCCACTGCGCCCTGACGGGGCTCAGACATAAGTTATCAAGTTTCATGTACCTGTAATTTCACCAGCTCTCTTACCCGTCAAAACTGGAGCGCAGTAATGATCACATTACTGTTTGACGACAAAAATATACTGTGAGGTGGCAGTGCTTCCCTGGACGAACTCTTTCACAAGGAGCTCTAGAACTACGTGATTATATTATATGTGTGATTTTAACGGAAAATGTCGGGTCTAATTAGGTACCTTGGGCTCCAACATCTGTGCAGCTACGTCCATAAGCAACTGTAAGCAGCTGTTCACATCTATCTCCTTGTTCTTTTTCATTCTTTTCACTTCCCTCCTCACCGTGTACGAGGCATCGTCTATGATATCTGAAATATTAAAAATTAATGATACAACATGGGTACGGTGACGTTTTAGATTTAAAATCTCTAGAGGTGTAGTGATGTAAAATAGAATGAACAAAAATCGATTTATATATCTTATCAAGATAATTTGTAACGAAGAGTGAATCTATTTAGAGACAGTAATTTAAGAACAAACAATAAACAAGATTAAAAGGATTCAATTATTACGTTATTAATTTAATAAAAAACTATACAACAAAAAATAAAATCAACAGCAAAGAAACAAATTTTGACCAATTACTCCAAAAACATCCAGCAAATGTCAAACACAAGAAAACTACCAGCATGCAAAGTGTAACCACTCGTATTGACGCGATACATAATAGCCGATTCGATTTAGCGATTCTGTAGTGTAAATCTCTATAAATATCCCGTTTTACGCATCTGAAATTTATTTTTATCTTTATTATTTCATTTTTTATCTACTTTATATACTGTAATTTTTACTTAAAATTACAATTGCAACAAATATTGTTTGTTTTTGGTGCACTGTAACAAATTTACTATTTCTTTTTGTAACCTGATTGAGAGATTAAATAGTATGCGTGGAAGGTAAAAATTGAAAATGTCTGGACCTCATCATATCTGAAATGGACTATATGATAATTCATTCACCTGAAGCCAATTTCAAGTACTCTGTATTAAACTGAGCGTAGTGATAACCGTCGAAGTTGTCATTCATGAGAGGTATTCGTTCCAAATTCACGTTGTCGAACAGTTTGTACGCTTTCGTACCAACTAGAATGTTTCGGAGGCGTTGCATTCTGGAAATAAGAAAAAAATACTTGTTATTGAATGTTATCACACACATACCTGTTACGCAAACTGTGGATTCGCTCTGGACCTTTTGGAGGGAAAAGTGTCGTTTTTATTTTGACTTTCAATTATTTTGTGAAATCTAGTTTAAAGTGGAATAGGATAGTGCTAATGTGCCTTAATCGAAGATTAAAACGCGAAATTATACGAATCTCGAACTAAAATACCCGTATCGGCTCGTTTTAAGGAATCCCGAGTCAATCCAAGCACGCCGCCTCAAATTGCTTATCCTCTATGTGGCGGCCATATTTACAGAAACCTAATTAAACTTCATGTTTAGGCTAATGGCTTTGCCAAAGCCTTAATAAATTAAAAAAAAAATACGCAAACTGTCACTCCTTTCGCATCGTGCCTCAGGAACCGCCTCAATTAAGCGCCTGTAATAAAAAATACCACCGAATTCAAAATTACCCGGTTTCACTCTCGTTGTTTACGGTCTCACGTACCCCTTTTTTTCGCTTACCATACCCCTTGTAGATTGAAGTGGACCTTTAGGGATCGACATAGACAACTTTGGGGTCATTAAGCTATACCCCGGAAGAAAAAAAGAATAGAAGTGCCTTAAGCCTTGATTACTGTCGGAACCGCTGTCGCCAAAACGCGCACAAATAAATGACAAACACTATGAAATCTTGATAATGATTGGTCATAGTTTCTAATTTAAAAAGATGTAACAAATTGTGGATTGTTAATATAATTTAAACTTTCCCCAGTCGCTATATCGTTTACCTTTATTGCAAGTTACGACGTTTTGATTTTATGCATTGAAATTTTATTTAACTTGCTGCCATCTAGCGGCCAACAGCTGGACTACGACAAACGATTAACATCAATAGAGAATAGTATCTTCTCGACAACAGATGTCTTCTTTAACGTACATATTGCATAATGAACTTTATTTCCATCAATTCAGTTTAAAATTAACAAAAGCATTTTTCGCTAAATTTTTGTTCGCTGCTAGCACGAAAAATTGGAAATGGTTACTTAGTTCTCCAGAATATAAAACTCGGCCATATTGCTCTGAGATAATGTTTACTTTCGTTTGTTACAGTACAAAAAATCAATTCAATAAACAGAAAATAGAATATTTATTAAAATAAAAGTTACCAATGATATGGAACACTAACGGTTAATATTTTTGTTGCGGCTTTCATTTTTTTCACTGCTATACAGAGATTTTAGAGAAAAGAAACATTTTAGAGAATTTGCAAGAATGACACAACCATACAAACATACAAAGCGAAAATGGCTGACTGAACTCAAGTAGGTCTAACGAGACCTAATGTTGGCACGCGTACGATGCTAACTAACCACTTCTACTGTATTTATTGTTCCGTGGGCTATACTCACCCGGGAGTGATCCGCGGCGAGCTTCTCGGAACGTGCACTGTGTGCCTGCGGCGCACGCGCGGCGCGGCGCTCAGCACCAGCTGCGTGATGCCGCGAACCGCCACGTGCGGTCCGTTGCCTTGCAGCGCGCCGAGTAAGCCAACCCACATCTCTTCGAACTGTTTCTTTGATGACCACCCGATAAGATTTACCCTGTGAATATATAACAACAATAAATCACAAATATATGATACCGCCAACGCGTTCTGTAAATAAACATGCCCGTCAAGTACCATGTGCCTGTAATTTCACCAGCACTCTTCAAAATCGGAACACAAAAATGCTGGCATTAAAATAAAATTATCATCATGAACCCATTTATACGCCCCCTGCTTGGCACAGGGCAGGTTTTAGGCCTTAGTCCGCTGGCCCAATGCTGGTTGGGGACTTCACACGTTTTCCGATGGTGGTGACCCTTCTTCGACGTGCAGGCTTCATGACAATGTTTTCCTTTACCGAAAAGTTAATGGAAAATTTCAATTAAATTTCGCACGTAAATTCCGAGAAACTGAAAAGTGCGAGACCGTGGGTTCGAACCCACGATCTCTACTTGAAAGGCGGTAGGATAAACCATTAGGCTACCACGACTGTCAGACATCACATCCAGAATATGTAGGCATTACAATGATATCTGCTAGGATCATGATCTGTACGATTGTAGTTGCGACAGAGATGTACATTGTAATCCACCGGACTTTGTCAAGATGTATTTTAATTAACTTCTTTTAGGTATTTCATGTCTACTGTTTTTCTTTTTCTTAGGAAATGAAACTATTTTTCTGGATTTCAATCGCGTATATCGCGGCCAACATTTCGGACCCTTTACAGGTCCCATTGTCACGGTTGACTGAGGTGGTAAAGTTATCAACCAGTTATGTCTAATATTAATGCAAACCACCCTATTTTTTCACTATAGTTACAAAAGGCATCAAATAAATACCTTGTTTTTAACTTTACAAGGGACATTCCAATTCACGCTAAATTATGTTTTACAAATTATTTTATTTCAACAATATGAATTTTTATTAAGTTAAATTTATTATTAACTAATAAATTAAAACATGTTAATTAGTACTATATATTACTGTGTTTTTTTAAATATTAAGTGACGGGGCAAACAAGTTGTGCGCCTGGTGGTAAGCGACACGCCTGTCCATAACACTTGCAGTGCCCACTCACAGCTTTAAATCGCAAAGATCTTAGGGGGTACTGCCACTGCGCCCGTCACCCAGACACATAAATTGAGAAGTTCCATGTGCCTGTAATTTCTCCAGCACCCTTACACATCTAAACCGAAACACAGTAATGTTGACATTACTGCTTGGCAGTAGAACTACGTAAGGTTTGTACTAAAGTGCTTTGCATAGCTTTCATTGGATTGCAGGTTTATGTTCCTTCATGTAGAATATTATTTTTTTACCACTGCAATTGACAACAAAAGGGAATTCCCTTTACTATAATTAACAGAGCAACGGAATTAACCCTGGGGTACTTCCTGGAACACATCGCACGCGGTACGCATTGAACCCGGGACCTTCTCATCAAGGGCCCACAGTGCAAACAGTTGGGCCAACGAGGTCGAGCTTGTCGAAATTTCTTTGTAATGTATTTTAAACTGTAATTTATTGCTGCACCTTATCCAGTATAACTTTTTTTATAAAAATAGACCTAAAAGTTCGTGGATATACATCTATTTCCCAAGTTTTTTTGAAATCGGTTAACGGAAAGTGCGCGAAACCGGACCGGATGGGCCCAATACTGAGGTATTCTCTTCCCAACAAAAAAAATAATCATCAAAAGCTGTTCACAAATACCGGAATTATCGCGTAGAAAAAAAAATAGAATCGAACTAAGACTCTCCTCCATTTTTTTAAGTCCGTTAAAATAAAATAAATAAAAACCTGTCTTGTCGTCTGTCAAACTTCAATTTACATTTTCGAATGTATATAAAATCCTATGCAAACTGTTTGAACGATCTTCCCCCATAAAAACCATATTACAAACACGGCTGAACTAACTAAAAACTACCATTTACAAATTCTAAACTTGTATCCCACCCCGTAAAAATTTAAACAATTGACAAACTTAAAAAAATACCTTCTGAACATTTTTCCATTCGCATAAAAAAAACTAAATAAAATTACACTCTACATTTGCAAACATAAAATTTAATATTATGTAAGGAATGTAAGCAATTGACAACTTAAGGCTCAACTCACACTGGCGCAGAGTCGAAGCGTCGCGTCGCGTCCTGTTTTTCAACTACACTCCCTGGCGACGCGCGACACTCGCATTAGTGCACCGACATCACAGTGTGGTCGGCGTCTGACGCCTCACGGCGCCCAAGAGACTGCGTCAGTGTGAGTTGAGCGTTAAGTATGCTCTCGCTTACATTGCAGTATCCCAATATACCAATTAATGTAATAAATATGAATATAACATACGAAAAGCGTAGCAAGTTAACTTACCTAAACAGGAAAGCCTCTAATACGTCCATATCTTGCAATGCTTGCAGCGGCAGATCAATCTTGTTCAGCTGATCTTTTTTAGCTGTGACATCGACCGACGACCACGCAATTGGTGGAATGAGAGCTATGTTGCTTACTATATCCAATCTGTAACATTTTATACCTGTAATTATTCAACGGACACAAGAATAACCTGTCTCATACATCCGCTGCCACATATAATGTAGGACGTCTGAAGACGTAGACGTCTACAGACGTCGTGTCAATCTACAGTAAGTTGCTAATTGAAATGTATGTGCAATAACTTTGACATTCATCAAATTTTGAACACTCAGAAACAGGTAAGGTGGCAGTACTTTCCTGGACGAACTCGTTCACAGGGAGCGCTACTGCTACTCATACTATGTCTTTAAACTTACCTAGACAAACTAACAAGTAGGCTCTCGATGGGTTCTCTATAACACTTAGCCATAAAGTCCCCTTTTGTGACGTAGAAATTTTGTTCCCAATAGTCCAGTAGAGTGACCAACTTATCTCCGACTATGAGGATATCTGGTTTTGGACTGTCCGAATCCGATGTCCGCATGTAGTGCTGGAGAATTAGTGGTTTTGTGTCCTGGGGATAGAGTACATTATCTAAAATACTCATTGTTATTCAAGAGACATAATAGTGACGTTTCTATATGACAAGTAAAGAATTAAAATTTGGATTTTATTAATAATTAATAGGTGTCTGTAGTATAAAATCGTTAAGAGAGACACTGTCAGGGCTCCGTCATTCGCTGGAGGTTACGCAATAAGTGCCTACCGCTGATGTGTCGCCGACAGTGCAAGCACTCAGACAAATCTTTCATTTGCATTACAATCCTTGTGCAACCCCAGCATTCGGTTCCGCACGATTGTATACGGCGAGCAAAGTTATTTTCACTTCTCTGAGCGCGTGCCTAGGTTCCTTTTCCAAGTAGTGAGCGCCTGGTCTGATTAGTCAGATTTAGAAGGCTATTATGGCGAAGGTACTTTCGATTTTGTATGAGACTGATGTATCTGTTACTTAGTAACTATTCTGTGACACGGTTTTCCTAACGATTTTAATATAGCATTCTAAATCGACACGGTGTTATTTCTTTCGTCCACCGTTTATAAAAAATATTTAAAAAAGACTAAAAAAATATTACGTCAGTAGGGCGCGTGACGGGTTAAAATACTGTTTCTCACCTTCACCAAGTACTTAACAATCGCATATAGACTGCTAATAGCAGACTGCGTTCTATTCACATTGCTGTCAAAATTCAACTCGGACCATATCTCTCTAAATGACAACGCATTAGCGACATTATCAACTGTCACCGCAATCACGTTGTCCACTATTACCGTATCTGTGGTTAATTCCGTAGCTCTGAACGACACATCAGCATGAACAGGACTTTCGACAATTTTCTTATTCTTTATCAAAAAAGATAAATATTGCAAAGACATTATTGAAAATATAGCAATGTTCTTTGCCAAAGACATTGGTAATAAGTGTTCAAGGAATTTTTCCAATAAATCGCAGTCGACTTCGTCTGTGGAAACGATTATTCTGTCCAAAGCATCTAGTAGACCAGTCAAAACGGTTTGTATTGTAATAAATTCCTGATAAAACAATTTATCCTGAAAGACTTGATGGCAACGTCGCGTGTATCTATCAATACTTTGTTCTATATTCAAATTGAAGTTCTCAGATTGGCTGAGAGGACGGTTTTGTTTCGGGAACAATCTTATGACGTCTGTCAGACTCTTGTCAAAAGTCATTAATGAGATATTGTATAAATCCGGTAGATCTGGCGGTACAAGTTCCGTTTCTTCGTCGGAAATTTCAAGGTTCCCAAATTTTTCCTTTAAACTTTCATTGTCTGTAATTGGTATGAAGAACTGAGATTTGGAGTCTTTGTTATCGCTCTTTTTGAAAACGTGGAGACTGTTGACTACGTTCAGCTTGTTGCTGTCGATTGACGACGTCATTTCTTCTTTTCTCGCCGTTTCTCTTCGGTTTCTCATATCCTCCTTCTCAATCTCTTTGCTCTCATAAACCGATACTATATTCAAGAAATCTCTTAGGTAATTATCACATGCTACTTTGAAGCAGGAGCAGAGCAGTTTTCTGTCAAACTCTGGGCACGACATCACAGTTGTCAGATCCTCTTTTGAAAGGTTCGACAGGAGTAAAGCAAGCTCGTTATGTTTCGCCACTTTAGGAGTACTGCAGTCCGTATGGCAGCATCTGTAAATAAAATCCAAACTGAAATCTGATGGGATACTACATTAGAGTGGTTACACATGGCGACATTTAGCAGCGATATAAACGCGCGATTACATCGATGTAATCACCTATAAATCCAAAGTGTAGCAATGCAATCGCGCGTTTGTATCGATGCAGTCGCGTGCTTGCATCGTGTGTGTGTAAAGGAAGACTATTAGCTACTGCATCGCGGTTGCATCGCTGCTAAAAGTGGCCCTGTGTAACAGCTCTTAGATCTACTTATTTATTTATTTATTTATTCCACATCATATTACACATTTCTGATGATAGGTAACCTCGACCCTACCTCGACCCTACCTCGACCGTCACGTTTTTGTACAATGTCTTACGTCTTTAGAGTTTATTAAAGCATTTAATATTCATTCCTTTAAAATTTTTAAAATTATGAACGCCAAGGACTCCAAGGGTATTTCATGAGTTTGTTACAGGCTTCAGTGTATTTACGTTATTTTTATCAGCGCGTCTGCCATGAGTTTATAGTTTACCACTGAGAAGAAGTGACCAGTGCGATGAAGACGGTTATAAAAAGGTGGAAAGGAAAAAGAAGTACACCAGCTGTAACCTTAGTGGCACCGCGCCGACCGGACCTAATCATTTACTGCGTCCAGCGATGGCGACGACGTCGTTATACGTGTAACGGCTTCATTACTCCACAAAGTCTGCCGATATGTGGATTATATACGGGTGAAAGCCCATGCTATCCTTAGGGTCTAGCAGTTGGGGTCCCGTCACAATGTGATTTTTAATTCATTTGTGGTGAGAGTACCAACCCAACATCTGTCGACCTTCATGAAGGATGAGTTTTGGCCGAAGGTCATTACCGACGTTTCCGAGGCCGGCTACCGGACACTCACGTTGCGTCACACGTCACAAACAATACGTGTAAATCATTGACTTACAATTATATGGACGTCGGGTCCGCGCTAAAAAGTGTCCGCACTTGTAAGGCGCTAAAATCGTATACAGAGCGCGACACTCCGCTTTAGTCTTTATTTGTTTTCCGGACAGCGCGATATTGCGATGACATAACAATTTAAATTTCGAATAGGTTGACTTGGGACATTTTTTTCGTGGTTTTTGTATTAGACCCGTCGTCCATTTATTTGTAAGTCAATGGTGTAAATAATAATTTAGTAATTAGTGTTTTATTATATTATTATGTATGTTAGTCTACAAGGAATGTATTTATGGGTCTTTGTAACGTGAATATAAACGTCAAACGTTCGCCTCAGGCCCAGCCCGCGCCTGGGCCGCCTGTTTGTCATAGCGTTCAGCGCCGGACCGTGCTGCCTCACCATCCGGTTTCAATGTGGCAGAGTGCATAAGAACTTGGAACAGTACAAAAAACACCGGGCACGGGTCGCTCCCGCTACCGCCTCTGTATTGCTAGAGCACGGCCTATTATACTTATATTACTGAATGAAAATGACGAATACACACAACTCCGCCGCATTTGTTTATACATCCGTAAAACTTACGTGGTGGCACGTAACGTGGACACTGTAATTGTACAGTAAATAAAAAATAGACTCAATCAACTGAGATAAAAAATACGCACGGATGTTAACATTTCGTAAGCTGACTCACTTCCTCCACATTATAATGTAAAGATACAACTGACATACAAATGGCATCCGTCGGGTTTTTTTTTATTTATTTAGTATGCTAATTCCATTTAACGTAAATAGGAGTCTTAATCTAGAAGGACAATTGGTTAAAGATGACATACAACTTGCACTGTCCGACCACGACATTTTATGGGGTTATGAAAAGACAATCAAAAATAGAAAAATAAATACGTTACAATTATATATTATAACAAAGATCGAAACACTAAGAAAAATTCATTCACTACGGCTGGATTCGAACGAGCATCGTCAGGCAATCCCGTCCAGGTGCTGTGCCAATTAAGCCACGGAACGAACCAGCAGATCTTACGAAATTTTCATAATTTTCTGAGCGAAGAAATAAATTTCTACGGCAAAAATGTCGTTGAAAATTAAAAACAAAGATCAGCAACAGGCACATAGAAAAATACCTGTGAAAAGTACATATTAGTTGGTGCGAGATTTTAAGACCTAATTATGATCTAATTACAATTATTTTTGTACTAGTAAAAAAAAATAATTAAACACAACCAATACATATCTAATGTATATTTTGTTAACAATCCATGGCAACAAACTCAATTTTTTTTAAATAAATTTTCACCCGTTTATTTGGGTAGGCAAAGGTTCCACCATACAGCCTCTTCATATATTTAGACGAAAGCAAAAGTACCAAGACAAAATAAAAATTACCGAGTGACCAAGTACAGTTTAAATTTTAACATACAACATTGCATTTGATTATCTGTGAAATAACGATTATTTGTTTTATTACCACGATATTCAATTACTTTTTGTGAAATTACTCCACTAGCTTATTATATATTATACATAGGGGGCACTATAAGTTTCCGGAACTGGTCACTTACATAAACAATATTTAAAAAGTAATTACAACATTTGAAAATGGAACTCTTTGGCTGTAGCTATAGCTACCAGTAACTGTCAAAATGTTCACTTTCGGTCGAACGTCACTGGTAACTATAGTTACCAGTAAATTACAGTATCCGATTGGTGAACTGTTTTACAAATAACTTTGGTGTGGTGTGATGAAGACTTTAATTGCGATAGATGACATTATTAATTAATTTCTGTAATTATTACCTATCAAAATGAACTTCAGGATGTGCTTTTTCAGATGGTGTTAAAACTTTAATATTTTATATCTTATTGGAATCACAATCTTATTGGAGAAAAGGTCATCAAAGTGGAGGTCATTGCACCTTGTGATTGTTTTTTTTTAAACTTATTATTAAAATACTTTTTGGAGTAAAATATCACATAAACACATAACTTTATTCAATAGAGGTTGTATTGAAACCTTTTTTAGGTGGTTATATTGTGAGTTGTGATAGGATTCGTCAATTTTCTTCCTCGCGACTTATACTTTTTTTACACCATTTTCGCAAATTTTCGCCATTTTGGTCGCTACCCGCGACTGTTATTAATTTATTTTAAAAATAGTTACACTTTATTTTCATATGATTCTAGTGTTAATCGATAGGTATTTAAGTGCTTGTCATCTTTATATATACATATTTTGTTTCTTAATATAGTGAATATACAATGTAGTTAGAAGTTAAAGCGTAAAATACTATGAAAATTTCTCAGAAGTGTTCAGTGTACTCAGAAAAAAAAGTAATAAAGTCATCGTATTACAATCATAACTGTAGTCTAAGCAAGAGCTACTTAAGTGCTCTTATCGCCCATGTTATTCTTTTTACAGTAGCTTAATAGGTTCTTAAGTTTCAAGTGTTTATATTATACCTACTATTAGACTTTAAGTGTAATTTAACAGCTCAACAGAGCTTCGCTCTTCGCTCGCTGTATTCAAACGCGGTCGTGTGAATCTCAGTAACGAATTTCGTAATGGTCGCCCGTCCATTGCTGAGAACAAATAAAACATCGATGCCTTGCGCCGTATGATCAAAACAGGCAGGCATGTGACATACCATGAAATTCGGGCATCTTTAGGCTTATAGCTTATAGGCTTATAGGCTTGAGTCAAATACAATCAATACTACACAAACATTTGGGTGTGAAAAAGCTGTGCGCTCGGTGGATCCCACACAATTTGACTGACGCTCAAAAAACGAATCGCGTCACTTGGTGCAATGCCATGCTTACCAGATTCAACGAAGGGGCGTCAAGTTTGGTGTGGGACATAGTACCTAACTAGTGACGAAACATGGGTTTATAGTTACGATCCCAAACAAAGCAGCAATCGAGCGTATGGGTCTTTCAAGACAAGCCGAAACCAACCAAAGTGGCGCGCGTGCAAAGTGCCTCTAAGCGGATGATTGCTTCTTTTTTTAAATAAAACTGGACACGTGGCTACTGTTGCTTTGGAGAACCGTTGTACCGTGAATAGTAATTGGTACACGACCATTTGTTTGCCAGAACTTATTGACAAACTCCGTAAAAATAATCGTAAACGCCGTAACATCTTGCACCACGATAATGCCAGTTCTCACACGGCCAGACAGACAAATTAATTTTTGAAGGTGAACAACGTTGGCCTTATGAGCCATCCCGCGTACAGTCCCGACCTGGCACCTTGTGACTTTTATTTATTTCCAAAAATTAAGAACCAGTTACGAGATTAACGATTTTCGTCACCTGAAGAGGCTGTCGGAAAGTATAAAAAATATATTTCAGAGATTGTCACGGAGGAGTGGTATAAATGTTTTCAAAATTGGTGGTGGTAAAAAGCGCATTAACGGTACGGAGAATATTTTGAGAAACAATAAATTAATTTCTTATGATTTATAGTATTTTTTTCTAATTCATTCCGGAAACTTATAGTGCGCCCCACATATACAATGAAACTGCTGTAAAGTCTGAATGAAGAAAAAACATGTATCGCACAATTCAGAGTCAGCCACCTCGTTTGCAGTTACTGTGTTCCGGTTTTGAAGGGTAACGGCGCGTGTGCACGCTAAGAAACTTGTCGTGTCAGCAAAAGAAAAAACAAAAAGATCTAGCCACGACAATATTTCGTGTCTGTTACAGACAAGAAAATGATGACTATGTACACGATACGAATTCTTTCGGGCAGACGTGTGTAGGGTAAACGTGTCATGCATTGACGAGGTAGCTGTCGTTTTACTACCGATTGTCAAAAGAAATAAAGAGGAAATAAAGAGGTTGGTCGTTTACTGACAATGCGTCGTCGGGGGTAGACAAGAATTTTTTCTTGTGCGGCGTCGAGGCTGTGTACACAGTTCATGTGTAGAAACGACACGAATTCTTCCATAACCCGGCGACTTTTCTTAGCGTGTACACGCGCCGTTAGGGTGCTGGTGAAATTACAGGCACATGGGACTTGTCAACTTATGTCTCAGGATGACGGGC